TCTAATAAATTTATCGCAAATATATACAAAAATTATAAATGATGATCAAAAGAAAGGTTGTACTTTTCTCTCCATCCTAAATAGAAATAAAGTCATAGTGCATAATGCAGTGTCAGTAGTTGGTTCGGGTTTTACTTTTCATTTCTTTTCTTTTTCTTTTTCTTTTCTGCTCCACTGACAGCCTTGCCTTTATTTGTGCTCTTTGGGGCTTTCTTGTTGGTCTTGCTTGCTTTCTTCTTTGTCTTATTTCCATTCTTTCCACCATGAAATGCCTGTGATTGGTACATGATACCTTCCTCATGGATGAAGACATCCTGCTTTTTAAGCTTTTCCTTCCTCTTCATCTTTCGCCGCTTCTGAACTTCAGGAGTATTCCGATAATCAGATTGGTAGATCCTATCAGAGTCAATCTTTCTCCACGTTTCAACCATTTGCGGTTGAATCTGGATGCCAAGGGGTGGGAGAAGCTCTTTGTAGGTGGAATTGAAACCCTGGTTGAATTGTAGCACTCCAAGACTTATCGCCAAGCTGACTTCTTTGGGAGAGCTGAACAATTCTTTAGAAGCCATTCCCCATATCACATGATGTAAGCATTCATTTCTATTTTGTGTGTAGCAGCCCTCGCAACCAATTAGAAAGGTTTCATCTCCCAGACGGTCAAAAAGAGGTTGCATTACCTCCACAACAGCATCAGAGAGCGGATTTTTGATAGGCTTGTGAAGGTTGGTGCCATTGGCGATGTCCCTCTGGAAGCTACACCAGGAGGAGGCACCGGCAGGGCAGTCATTGTGCCTTGGTTCTTCAACAGTACTGCTGTAGTGCTTTAGTATTGCACGTGTACTCCTGGCCATTTCCTTTGCATCACCTCTATTGTCCCTGATTGCTCTCCCGTAAAAGTTCTGTATGGTGTCAATTCTTGCCAAGGTCAATCTTCCAGCACCGGTTAATGCCTTACCATCAGACAACTTCCTGCCTAAAAAGAGTAAGATTACATACAAAAATTCATGTTGTTAGGGATGGAACATTAGGAAAATTATTGGGAGGGGTGGGGTGGGCCAAATAAAAAAATATATTATACAAGGGAATATTTAAAAAAAATCTTGCACAGCAACCAACAGAAAAAAATTCTGCGTTGAAAGAAGTGCTTGGAGAAGACTTCAACTCCCCCCAACCAAAAAAAAATCCTGCATAGCCAATAGAGCAAAAGAATCATGAGAACTGATAAATCGTTACCCCTCTACTACTCTATATACCATACCATAGAAAATACAGCCAATCAGAACACAGGAAAGCCATCGTATATTCCACGGTATTACACCCACCCTTCCCATTGTGCACTGTATTTTCTATGGCATGGTATAAAATAGTCATGCAACGTTTTCTCATGGTTTACCATGCAGTAAATATGTAAACCATACTTACCCTTATAGTCAGTTACGAGTTTCCTGAGTCCAGTTCCCATGCGTTTCGTTACATGGGCAACACATTCTTCTTTGGGAATAAATACAGCTGCACCATATGGTTGTTCCTGGCAAACAGCAGAGTAGGCTTTGCTATCTCCATCCCCAATGTAGGGGATGTAGCGTAACTTCCTCAGTTGCACTGACCGCTGGTACAGGATTTTGGCACCTTCTGCTTCCATCAACTTCGAAAACAAAAGAAATGGGTAATAACTCTGTTAGACCAGGGCGCAGTGTTTTGAACCGGCCAAGCAATTATAAAAACAAATGAACTGCACAGTGTTATATGCAGTAATATTACTAAGTGAAACATCAACTGATATTATCACATGAATTTTTATAAACACACAAAAAATATTTTTAAACGAAAACAATACAAAAAAACAACAATTTTAGGCTTTGCATCTTACGAGGAAAGACAAAGCAAAATAATCTTCTAATTTTATCATTTCAAGATCTGTTTGCAGGTAGTATTGCCCATGTTCTAAATAATTTGCTTTTGTTTTTCTTGAAAAAAAATAGTAAAAAATAATCTGCTATCACATGTTTTTACACAACTTAGGGAACTACTTAAATTCCCTTTTTGTGAGTATCTACATAGAAATTTAGTTTAAAAAATGTGGATTTACAACTTACTGCAGCACTACCCTCGTGGTTTACATAGCAATTTGGCTCATGACTAATGAACCAAGCGAGATAGTCCATCCGGGTTATGTTCTCTTCTTTCCTCTTCTTCTCCATCTTTTTACACTCAGTGCAAGAAGAACATAGGTGAACCACGTCCACAACTTTTCCTGTGTCAACAGAAATTGCGGCTACCACAGCATCCGAAGCTGACCATCCTCGCGCACTCCACGAGGCATCGATCGTCACCTCGATGTCCACAACACTTTCTTCAACATCTTCAAGTGAACAGTTTAATTCTCCGTTGGAAAACTTCCACTCTTTTACACCACGAGAAGCACGGTTTAATTCTTTCTCGAGCAAAAGTTTTGCCTCTCCTTCGATCTTTTTCGTATGATCCGCCCAGGCATTTTTGTTGATCGGCGCCAGGCCAAGGAAACTAAAAAACTTTGAAGCCGCCGAATGTCCACCACCGATTGCTCGAAGGCCAAGAACTGAGGCCCGGTTTATTTCAAACGCTCTGCTCTTCTCGGAAGAATGGAAAACAGAATTTGTCTTGTGCGACGGACAGCTTTCATTCTCGCACTGGATTCTCCAGGTAGAACCAAGTCCATGCTTAGTCGCTACATTTTCCATGACTTGGACTCTTCCCTGGCAAAATCGACAAGATACAGACTCGTCCAGTTTCTCAAGCAGCTTTTCGCTCGATACGATAGCTCGACCGCTTATTGTTTGCCACGTTCCTTCAGCAGATGGGGTCGATGAGTTTAGTTGGCTTTCTTCATCTGGCTCTTCAAGCTGGATTTTGGAGCGGCTTGCACTCTCAGCAACTGCAGCATTTTCGCTTTTCCCAACATCCAACTCCTCGAGCCACTTCTCTTGCTGATAAAATGAGCCTTTGTCGCTCTCTGCCAATTTTGCGGCCCATTCTTTATCAAACTCGCGTTTCGATTTCTTTTTTGCTCTTGGTTTCGATGACGAAAACGGACACGACCTTTTCTTTTTTTTTGGCGGCATTTTCACCGAAGCAAATATCCACGGAGAACACTAAAGGCTATAAACAACGCGAAGGCAATTCGCACGTGTTGTGTCGAAGCACGCACTCGGTATCATGTTACTAGTTCACAGGCAAGTTAATTGATATATGACACGGTATGACAGATCTTGTCAACGATCAATTAAGATAATTAACAAGAAAAAATCTTTTACCCCCGATATCTTTCGATAGAAATAATATTTTCTTCTGATTTTTTTTTTAAAAGAAAGCTCTCAAGAATATCTATTTGAAAATGCTGAAACCTCAAAAATGAAAAAATGGCAATTTTAAGGGTGGCTGATACCTTAATAAAACCATTATGTTATCCATTACTTGTTTCTGTGAATATTTTAATTTAAGTTACACGCATAGACCTTGTTTGGATGCAAAATCACTTCTTTGGGCTACAAAAAAAACCTACATGGCTATAGGTTAAAACAAGATCAACTCGATTCTTTCCACCTCTGGCAACTAACAATTCACTTATAAGCAAATACATCTAACCTTCTCATCGATACTCATAACGTCACACATCTTCCCCATTTCCCTCATTTTACCACATTCACATAGAACCACATTACCTTTGTATAGGCCAATGCATCCCACGGAAACGACTTGAGGCGTCTTGTTTACTATATTTTCGAATATATTAAACATGATTAATTTAGGGTTATTATTGTTGCCTGTCTATAGTCATCACGGGCATATCACCTCCGTATAATAATATGTTGTATAAATTAATATATACATTTTGCCAGGGCTAAAAGTAAAGACTCGGTTTCTATACCTATGATAAAAGCAATTAAATTTAAACTAATAACATGGACTCTACGCCAAAAAAATAAGAAATAAGGAGCCTTCAGCATCAGTTCACCTTTAGAGGGAGGGATTAAACGATTAAGACAAAAATTGTGAAATTGTAGGTATCTTTAGTAGCAGCAATTTACAAGTTACGATTTCTAGGGTCAGTATTTCTGTCTGAAAGGGTGGCCAACTTAGGGACTTTTGTATTCACGTAAGCCTATTATATTTTGTTGTCTTTTCACTTCTCATAACTATAATCCAATCTTTAACCTACTAAAACTGTCCGGTTCGTGTTCTGGTGTTGTGCAGTGCATTGTTGAGAAATGTGCAATAGACTTTGGTTCAGTAAGTACACTTTAAATTATAAACAATAATCCAGCAACTTACAACTTTTTTAAAAAAATAACAAATAAAAAACCCGCGCTCGAAAAGTCAACAAGTCTTTTGTTAGAATAGAGGAAAACTCTTTCATATTTTAGATAAGCTCACTTTTTCAATGAGAATATAAAGCCGTAAAGAAACAACAGAAAACAAACTTAAAAGTGATTTCAGCTGTATTCGGGGCTTGAGTTATGGAAAAAGAGCAGCACACTGCAAAATTCTTGAATGGCAAGTAATGAATAAGAAATGAATACCAATTCAATAGAACATGTACGAAAACAACTCTTTGGTTTGTGCCTCTGCTTGCGGTTGTTTTTTCATTCACATGAACACGTGGCAATGAGACACAAATATGTGTTTTTGAGTTTTTACCCTGAGGACAGTGTTCGCTTTTTGAGAGTCGACTTCTTGATATTTGTTCCTTAGAGCCGGGATATTTTGTGACTTTTGAGAGCAAAAGTGTGAAAAACAAAGTAGTATAGATCAACCACCGAGTGAAATTCATGTCCAACAGTGAAAGGCAGTATAGAGTTATTCAATCACTGAGTGAAATCGTGTCAAACAGTGAAAAGCAAACATCAGCAATGTTGAGACCGGAACGTCGAGAGTGATTGTACAATTGTGTCTGAAATGAGTGTTTCAAACTGAAAGAGAGACCAAACGTTAAAGTTATTTCCATCTAGTGAGTCTACCAGTATGTCCAAAGCGAGTAAAAGCTCAATTCTGAGAAAGAAACTTCAAGCAGAAAAACTCGCCCTTAAGTTAAAAATAGCCGCGCAAAAGTGCGAAGAAGAAATCAGTCTACTGCGTGCCAAAGCGAAGCAACGTGCTACGTTGCTAGAACTTAAAAGGAGAGCTGAAAAAACGAGATAAGAAGTGGCTCATGAAGATGCCCTTGCTATTGAGGATTCTAATCAAAGAGACAATGACGATAAAGATTTGGCGGGGTTACCTGTTGATAGTGTAGAGGATCGTGTTTCACACTTACATCTAAACTCTGCTTCCAACACCCAGACTGTTGTTGGTGATAAATTTCCCGTTGGTAAAGAATGACAATGTGACGACAATGGAGAAATTAAGTTGAACGTAAAACCGGAGACAAGAAAACCTCGAGGCAAAAACACGTTGCGCAGTCCTCCTGCCACACGTCAAGTTACAATACTCGTCACAAATCATTGAAACAGACACCGTTTCTCTCGAATTTTCTGGAAAAATCATGAGATTTATACTTCACACTGTCTTCCCCCCTGAAATGTGCCTTCTCCCTCCCCAATGTTGAGCCACGCATATTTTGAAGCACTGAGACCACTGTGATACCCAAATCAACATTGGGGAAGGGGAAATAATACAATACAATACAATAGTTTATTGACACTCCTCTGGTGGGGTTTTTCAGTGACAATGCGACTAAAAAAAAAAAACTAATTAACATAAGAGAAGTAGTTAACAATTCGATTAAAGGAAAGAATGCGGTGAACAAACCAATACAAACATACCTATTTAAGAATTAATCGTATAATAAATATTCTCACTGCGTACTATACAGTATGCATATTTTAAGTTAAAATAAAATAAGATACTAGTAAGATACTAAAATACTATCATAACGTGCTATTTAAAAAGTCAGTAATCAACTTATTTTTCAGACAAAATTTAAAAGTAGAACTCGATTTTGCAATTTTAAGAGTACTGTCTAGATTGTTCCAAATGTGCACCATGTGGTAGTGGAATGTTCTCTGTCCGGTACTTGACTTATACAAGGGGATGTTTAATAATTGGCAACTTCAAGTCACGCGCCCGGTGACCGCAATTCTTGTTGTAAATTGATCGCTGAGGTAATGTGGAGCTTGGCCAGTCATGCATTTAAATGCTATGAGAGCGTCGCGGAAGAACAGGAAATAGACACAAGATTTTTGACGAGTATTGTATTTAGTCTGAAGAGAGAAAAGAGTAACAGTTTCTGTTCACAGCGAATTTTTGGATCATCGATGGAATCTACCTGTTTGGTTCACACACAGATGAGAAAGAGAAATGTAGGATGTCGGATTATTTTTCGGTTATATTTAAAAAAAAAAGAGCAAAAGATGAAAATAAGGGAATTAAAAGCAATGTGTTTCACATACAGGCAGTAATTGAGACATGCGGGAAAATGTAAGGAAAAAATGTCATTTTCTGAAGACATATATTCCAACTTTTCAAAAGGGGAAATAATATTTACCTAACATAATTAGCTTTTTTCAGCGCGATAAATAAGGGCATGTCTGTTGCTAAATGTCTTTCCTCTTGAAGAAATGCAGAATCGTGTGGTGAAATGGCAAACTGTGACGCGACAAGTAGTGAAGTGTTAGACTTAAGTACCCTGACAGAAAGTGTAACAGGTGATGACGCTACTGAGCAATCGGAGGCGCTGGGGTCATGTCAAGCTCAGAGTATTTATCTAATCACATACAGCCAAGCGAACAAAGAGATAGTTCCTAATCGAGAAAGTTTTGTTCAGCTGGTGTTGGATAGTTTCGACAATGCAGACCCATTCACGCGTTGTGAGATAGTACAGTGGGTGTGCAGCCAAGAACAGCATAGGGATGGGGGCATTCATTATCACATGGCAGTGAAATTAAATGCATGGCGACGCTGGCTGAAAATACGCTCAAATATCTTGATGAGCGACACAGAGTGAAAGTGAATTTCAGCGCTCGCCATAGCAATTATTATTCAGCGTGACAGTACACCACAAAGGAAGACGAGAGTTACTTACAGTCTGATAACCATCCCGATTTGACTAATGCCCCTGCACCCAATACTTCAAGGGCTACCGAAACGCACACTCGACTTGCCAATGGACGAAGGAAGCGTAAAAAGTCCTCCCAAAGTTTATCGGTTTATGGTGTATCGCAGATAGCGGTAAAAAATGGCATAAAAACTCGTTTAGAGCTGCTGGTGTTAGCACAAAAGCAAAAAAATGAGGGGAAACTTGAATTGGCGCAGTTCATCGCGAATCATGGAAGTCGGGTATTGGATGAAGCGATAGCTGTGGGTTGGGAATTAGAAAACGCGGAGAGCACGTCGCAAAGAAGTAAAATGACTAGAATTGAGATTTTGTACAGTAAATTGGAAGGAGAGTGTGAGCCAGGGTGTGACGGCCAGTGGTTGCAAATGGCAAAAGAAGTGTTAGAGCGGAACTCTATTGAGGGATGACTTTGCAAAAGCTGTTCGCATACTTCTCGACAAAGGGCGTGGAAAGTATCGCAATGAATACTTGAAAGGTCCCTGTAACTGTGCGAAAACATTTTTGCTACACCCTTTGAACACAATCTACAAAACATTCAGTAATCCAGCCTCTACAACGTTTGCTTGAGTTGGTGCAGAACAGTCAGAAGTAGTTTTTCTCAACGATTTTAGGTGGTCTGCCCAAATTATTCCCTGGCATGACTTCTTAATGCTTCTTGAAGGCCAAACTGTTTATCTACCCGCCCCCAAAACACACTACCGACAAGATATTCTGTTCCAGGGAGATACACCCATATTTTGTACCAGTAAGGATGAACTTAGTTATGTACGAGGCAGTGTTGTTGATGACAGGGAGACTCAGATGATGAAGGTAAGGTGGCGGGTCTTCAATCTCTTCCATCAAATAATACCCGAGGAACAGCAGAAGTCAGTCTTCCCGTGTGGAAAATGTTTTAGTCAACTTATTTTCCCACAAGACGACTAATTCAATTATGACTGACCTTATGTAAATATCACCGAGTTTGTTGACATTTTGTAATCTTAGCTGTGGTTTAAGGGTTACACGATTCACCATGGTGTTTGGAAAATTATTTGCCTTTTTTAGGAACCAAACCAAAAGCTACTGCATCTACAAGTGTCTTAAGTGATAGAACAGATCACGGAACATACACCTAAGGGATAATTTTCTTGATTAAGCTATTCAATAAGGCTATTTGTAGGGCTTCACCATGGTGAACCGATAGTTCTTAAAGTCTATGGTACTATAATTACTTTGCTTTAGAACACAGTGGTGAATCATTGAGTTTCAGCGCTAAGAAGGTCGACAGGTCCTTAAAACAAATGATCTCTTTTAATAATGTAATTTTCTACAAAGTTAGCTTATTTTTGTAAATAGAACTGTTAAAATCATAGCAAAAGAAGAGAAGTTCTGTGTTTATTTGACACCTTTGTGTAGTTATTTGAGATAAGGACTAAGCGGTCATGTACTTCACTATTCTTTCCCTGGAGCTGCAACAGAAATCATGTCACAATGAATAGCGAATCAATTTCATAAAATGACCAGAAAAAAAAAAAACATTCCGCTCTGTAAAAATCGCTAAGCGTCCTCTTGATGGCCATCGGAGCAATCTTCACCCCCTTCTGTTTTGAAATATACAACACCACCCCTCCCCCCGACCATTGCATTCAAAGTTGAAGAAAATTCAAGCAGTCTTTTCAAGGACTTGCACAGAAATTTAAGGACTTTTCAAGGAAAAATGGAATTCAAGGACTTTTCAAGGACTTCCCCTAAAATTCAAGGACTTTTCAAGACTGTGCGAATCCTGTAGTAATTTTGTGAATTGAGAAAACGAGGAACTGTTCTTACAGATACGTCCTTTTGTTGAATTCCGGCTTCCTCCATCAGTGCTTTACAGGTAAAGTTCCCCTCTCTTTTCCTCAAAACTGTAATGCATCGTATCAGTCGTCTTTTGTCGTGCTCACTTACCTTGTTCTTGGGACCTCTTTTACACGTCTCCTCGGAAGTGTGCCTCTTATACGTTTTCTCATGTGCAATTCTATAAACAGTGGCCACAGAAACTTTGCACATGCTGGCAACTGTTCGCACAGATAGGCCTTTAACCCGACAGATAAATACGCATGTGCACAAGTCACGTTATCGATTACACCTTTAAACACCATCGCAATGTGCTAATAGGCAGAGCTATTTCACTAAACTGTTTTACCACAAAAGTGCCTTAAAATCGCTATACTCAAAAGTCTGCATAACTTCTTTATATAACTCCTACTTCATATCTAGAACAGTCAGAACAAGAACACTCCTCATGTAACCACTGCAGGCAACAATAATAACTCTTCCTACGTTTACGTTACCCGTCCACGCCCTTCAGACGCAAAGACAATACTCGTCACAAATCGTTGAAACAGACACCGTTTCAATTAATCAATTATTTTTTTCAATCAATCATTTATTTTAACACGTTACATCATAGAGCTAAAAAACTCGTTCAAAATACGAACATGTATAAATGAAATCTATAATAATTACAGCTATATATTATTATTCAATTTTAAAACAACTCAATAAATATATACATGTAAAAAACTTGGCAATAAAAACGTAAAACATAAAAAGCTAAAACTGACTAAAAAGCCACATACTAAAAACGTGACGAGGAAAACTATAATACTCGTTCTAAAAACTGTTAAGAGCTACAATCGTACACTATAAGACACGTTCTAAAAAGCTACAGTCGTGCAATTTACTTCTGAAGTCATTAGCATCTCTTGAAAGACGCACTTGAGAAGGCAAACTCTTCCATAACTTAGCTAACAAATAAGTGAAAGAATTCTTCTTAAATTTAAGATTAAAGTAGGGTAATTCCAAATTCAAGCCCTCGCCCCTTAGCGTATACGGTGTATGCCTGTTTTTAAAAAGGCTACCAATATAAGTAGGTCCCGTACCATTTAAGCATTTAAAAAGAAGTATTATCGCATGGTGTAAGCGCCTACAATATAAAGATTTCATGCTAGCCATAGTGAGCAGCTCGTCGTATGACTTTGACTTGTTGTGCCCGATTAATGTTCTCAAAATATAACAGTTGCCATCTCCGAGACAGTTGCGTTGACCCGTACCTATGCCTACAAACAAAGGACTGCAGTATTCGAGATGAGGTAATATAAATGCTTTATAAAGTTTTATCATTGCATCATGACGAAGAAAGCGCCTTATTCTTCTCAGTGCAGAGGCCTTCGCGTAGGCTTTCTTTAGTTGATCTGATATGTGGTCTTTATAGGATAGGTCCTTGTCTAGAGTAACTCCGAGAATCTTAATAGATCAGAGAAATTCTATTCTAGCATTATTAAGAAATTAAGAATAATGATAGGTACAGGGTCCGACAGATAATGCTTGAGTCTTAGTACTGTTCACTGTTAAGTGGTTAGACTCAAACCACGACGAAAGAGTCTGAAGATCTTTGTTGAAGGAAAATTCTAGAATGGTGGGAGACATCAGACAGGTAGGCAGTCATGTCATCAGCGTACAGCCGCAATGAGACATTAGGAGCACAGAAATTCAAGTCATTAATGAATATGTTGAACAGCGAAGGCCCCAATAGTGAACCTTGAGGAACGCCAGATTTAACAGTTTTGAAGTTAGCGCATACGCCTTCTAATCTGACACATTGTTGACGACCTAGCAGGTAGGTGGATATCAGTTCCAAGGCATGTGGAGAAAAGCCATAGGCCTTCAACTTTGCGAGCAGAAGGCTGTGGTTTATGGCATCATACGCTTTGCTCAAGTCCACAGCGACCGCCGCTACAGCTTCCTTGTTATCAATACTGTTCCTCCAATCTGCTGTCATTTTTAGTAATGCAGTGCAGCAAGAGTGAGTTTTCATAAATCCAGATCAGTTTGAGGACAAAACGCTATGAAATGCATTCCAAGTTTGGTTGTAAATAACTTTCTCAAATACCTTCGATAGCGAAGTTAATATTGAGACAGGGCGGTAGTTTGCTTTGTCTGTGTCAATCCCCCGTTTAAAGACAGGAGTAAGGCGCGCTTGCTTCCATTCAGACGGCAATGAGCGATTCAGAATACAGAAGTTGATCAACTTAGCCACCTCTTTGGCAAGAACTGTGGATCGCAAATGCAAGATTCGTGGTGAAATACCGTCTACCCCAACTGCCTTTCTCAGATTAAGGTGGTCTAAGATGTTATGGATATGTGAAGTACTGACTGGGGAGTAATTAAACTCACTTGAGAAACGTTTCTCTCGAATTTTCTGGAAAAATCATGAGATTTATACTTCACACTGTTTTCCTCCCTAAAATGTGCCTTCTCCCTCTCCAATGTTGAGCCACGCGTATTTTGAAGCACTGAGACCACTGTGATACCCAAATCAACATTGGGGAAGGGGAAATAGACACAAGTGTTTCAAGATTTTTGACGAGTATTGTAGATCAATTTTTTGAGAAAATGCTTTTAGTGTTCATGAAAATTGTCAAACCAAGTGTGCTAAAATTAGCGGAGATCTACTCAAGTACTCGAGGTTTACAGCAGCGTTTCAAGTGGAAGTGGACAAAATTTTACTAATTCCACACTTCATAATGAATTCCGACTCCTTTCTTACTGCTCGATCAAATTGGTTCTTCTTGACAGCTTCAGATATCTGCAAAACAAAAAGTGCAGTGTAAGCCTGATAGCTGCGGGAAGGTTTGCGCTAAAAATAAAGTGGCAAAAACAGGCATCCCGTGTTAAAGGACTTGGATTGATCAGATGCCCTGATAATACATCTCCGATAAGTCTCCTCAATTGACACGAAACAGATAAGCTTGAAGAGGGTTTATTTTAAAATTTCTGCGATTCCTGACATTAAAATTCAGTTAGGTTGATACTGCGTCATTTTTTTCCCTTTTTTAAAGTCTCTCGCTAACGTTTTTATTTCTAATAATTTTACGAGTTATCATTAACTCATGTAGATGCGTGTCTGCCAGTTGTACCTTTTCAATTTTCTTTCTCATGTCATGGTCTGTCACATCGAGTGCTATTGGCCTGGATGAAGATGGCCCAGCTACAAAATAGTCAAACAGCAAAGGTGAAAGACAGTGTAGTCCTGGGCCCTCCTTTTGAAGTGACATTCCAGTAACAAGACCAGAGAAGTAATGGGCATTACGTTCCAGCACTCTGGGCCTTGTACCACCCTGGAATAATTGCAGACAGTCATCACTGCGAGATGCAAGAATTTCCTCGTTGGCCTCCTTTGTCCTCGGCCTCCTCCCCAATAAAATGAACCTTCAAGCTATGATTCTGCTTGAATGCGTTTTTGGAAATAGATGTTACTGTGACCTCCCACAAGTGCTTTCTCCTTACTCGGATAATCTGGAACTCAGTGTCTTCGTAACCCAGTTTTTCACGCTGGAACCTTGTTAATAGTGTTTCCAAGGATTCTCTGTCCAAAAAGCGACAG